AGCATGCGGTGATGAGGAGAGAGCCAGGTTCAGATTCACCTGGATGACCGCATGGATAATGGCTGCCCTTCTTCCTCGCCCAGGCCTTTTTAAAACCTCCCTGACCTCAGCAGCCGGTCCAACCGAAGCTGCCAATACTGGCTACAAACCGGCCAATCTGCATGGCATCCCTGGCTACCTGGGCCCGCGCGCAGGGCCGGGTCTTCCCCCCCCTGCCCAGGTGACCAGAGCATCGCCTCCCAGGCGCCAGGCTTTTGTCTGCAGACAAGGAGCGAGATCCCCGCTGTGAGGGATTCAACAGCAGCCTCTCAGGCTGGCTGAGACAGATCTCTGGAGAGGGGCACCGACGGGGCATTTCTGCCACAGTTATGTAGTAGTTAGGTCCTGTGTATTGAGCTGGGCCCTGAGTCCCTAGTCCCTGAATGAATCATGATTGATTGATTGGTAACTGGGAACACAGCAGCTGAGCAGCCAGGCCTGCGGCAGTGTCTCTCTCCCCGCCCCAAGACAAGACACAGCGAGTTCCACAGTACCCATGGCACCAGTTTTGCTTGTCCGCAGCTTGAGGGGCAGTTCCCACCAAACCTCTACACTGATCTTGAAACTTGGCAGGCTTTGTGGCCTCAGTAAGAGCTACCACCCCTGCAGTTTTCACCCAGCTAGATTGTAACACCTAGACATGACATGAGTTTTGCTTTCAAGAGTTTGGGGTTCTGTTACCCCCAAACCCCTGCACCAATCTTCTTGAAGCTTGGCAGGCTTCATCCTCTCTGCAGAATCTACCACTCCTGAAAATTTAGTCTAAATCAGACAAAAAACAACAAAGTTATAGATATTTTATTGTTTCCCCATTATACCTTATGGCCGCATCTCCGAGGCAGCCCTGAGGTGGCTCCGAACCCCTTTGGGAAGCCAAACAAGGCCAGCACTTCGACCTGGATGTGCTGCTTCGGATCCCAAATTGTCCAAAGCTTCTCTGGATCCAAAGCTCTGTCCGAAGCCTCGCACAGCCCTAGAGGCTGTCCTACTCCCACTGTAAGCCAGATACTACTTGATCATAGAACCAGGCCCTTGTAGACCACAACAGCAAGGTATTTTGGGGATGGGGGCACATGAGATCACTGCAGCAGAGTCTGAGCTTAGTACCATCTCTTCCTTCTGCGATGAGATGCACTCAGCTTGGTTCCTTTCCTCACAAAATAATAATAATAATAATAAAGTCTGGTTTAGACAACAAAGGCAAATAATATGGGGGGATGGAGATCCTTGGGAATGAAATTTTAGTATTGGATCACAAGACCAGGATTTGACTTTTCAGCAAAGTAACATGATTATAGCAGTGTTAGCAGAGGAAAATATCTTTATTTTTTTTCCCCCTCAAAAGCAGACATGAGCGTGTCAGGGAGGATGGAGCATGTAATTAATGGTTTTGACAAATATCATTACAGTTGGAGCTTACATCCGGTTTTGGATTATACTGTAGAAAAACAAGGCCTTCTTTAAGCATGTTTCTTTCTCACAGTCCACTGGTGATGAACACTGCCAACACAGATATCAGCCTTTTTCACTGGGATAGGAATGATTGTCTGAGGAGAGATCATCATCATGAGACACAACACTCTTCAATTTTTTTTTAAACTTTTTGTGGCTTGCTTATTTATCCCTTCCTGGTTGTACGTACTGTTCAAGTTCCCATATCCACCACAACTAGAGAATAAGGATGGATTCAATCTTTCTCACTGCCTGACACTTGAAATGCTGGAATTCTCTCACTCTCTGAAGATCATCCTCTTTTGTTGACTTCCTGTACTTCATCAATAGGGATAACCATTCTTTTTATTCTTTTTTTGGATGATAATGAATCAGCTCAGTCCAGGGTCACTTCATGAATTTCCCCAGAGTGATCATTCATTTCCCTTGTCTTGCACTTCCAATTAAAAGAGGGTATCCGTGTTTATATATTTTGTATCAGGCCTATAACATCTAGGGCTTAGGCCATGGCACATCAGAGAGGCAACATGGCAACAAGGACAGAAGGAAAAACAGAGCAAGAAGGGGTCAAATGCAAAAGCAGCAGTAGTTTCAGGCCAGGAGGCCCCTTAATACAATTTGTAATCAGGGTTGCATGAAGCGTCTAGGGGTAGAAGGAGTATCCTGGAAATAGCCTGCAGTCATGGCAGAAAAAAGGAGAATGCAAAGCTGAGTCCCTTGAGAAAGTCTTAGCCAGGCCTTGGAGTAAGTGTCAGGAAACAAAACTATCATGCTCAGTGCAGGCTGAGTGAAGCTTTCTAACACACGCTGCTTCTGTGACGTATGAAGGAATGCAGTGAAATCATGGACAGAACTCCAGGACTCCTTTCCCAGGGGGAAGGACTTCCTATCCCAGGGACCTCCATGGTGGCAGGCTGTTCAGCCTGTCAGTAGCAATGTCTCCCAGGACGCAGAGGACGAAGAAATGACAGTGCGTCATTGAAACCTAGAGCTCCATAGTATGGAAGGTTTTCATGATCCCGAGCAATGCAACGAAAGCCACTTCCATCACTATGCTCACACAAGAGCCAGGCACCTCTCTGGACTCTGTGGGAAGACACTCGGTCATTGAAAAATCCCCTGGCAAGGTTGGTTGCTTCTGTCACCACCTTGAAATTTCCTTGATAATTAACGTGTTCATAAAGTGTGATCTGGGGATTACTTAGGTCTTCAGTAATCAGCTGGAGAGAAGTGATCTTGTCATTCATAGACCCACCAACAAAAGCATGTTCTCCTTCCTCAAAGACCTCAAGCTTGCCTGTAAAGTTGTGATGTTCATAGGCAACCCAGGGCTGTCCAAAAACCTTCAGAGAGGAGACACAGTCATTCCAGTCAACACATCCCAGGTTGCTGATATCAGAGGTGAGCTCTTTGGAGTAACCTTGGAAGTTTGCATGCTCATAGAGGATGATCTTGTTCATTTTGATGGGTTTTGTAGGATGCTTGCAGTTGGTTCTTGGAAGATAACTGATATCCTGTGGGAGAACAGGGGGGAAGAGAGAGAGAGAGAGAGAGAGAGAGAGAGAGAGGAAAGGTCATGACTTGAAGGGAGCTGCTGCTCAATGGAGGCTCGCTTGCTAGGATATAGAATTAGAAGTTGAGTAACATTTGAAACAAGTTAACAGTTACATAAGAAGCAGTGGAAACCTGGGCAAATTCAAGTAAATAGGGAGCAAACTAATACAATTTATTCAACAGGAGTAATCACAGTCTCCCCCTGCCCTCTCCCCCCCCCCCAACCCATAATTGACTCTTGACTCAGTCTCTTGCTCTGTAATTCTAACTTCCCCCACTATTGAAAATTTTCTTTTAAAATCAAGAAGAGGTGGGATAAGCATTGGTTAGGCATCATTTAGAAGTAGCATACCTGGACTGTGAATTAAGAGAAACATTTGAAAGCCCCCATTAGACACTTCCTAGGAGACAACTGTTCAACTGCTGGCCAGCATGTCAGAGCCAACTTGCTGTGCCACATCACCCAGCTTGTTGGGCTTCCCATCAGTCCATAAATTTGGCAGTGCACAAGCAGTGGCACTTCTCTGCCAACAAATTTCTGGAACCATGGGGAACCCCAGGCCCTGCATGCTGGATTAAAACCTCATCCCAGTGCGCAGGGCCATAGTTGGTGTGGTATGAGCCCCAGGGTACAATCCTAGAATGATAGAAGTGGGATGGGGTTAGATTGGGGGGGAGGAGGGGGACTTACTCACCCAGAAATGGAACAAGCTAAGACATGACTACTAGATTTAAGCAAAGAGAAGAAGACAGTATGCATCCATCTTTTGCCCCCAACATCTGTGTGTCTGTGGCATTTATCTGGAAATCTGGAGGACCTGGGTCCCAGGTTCCACTGATCCAGAGGGGATTTGAATAGGACCTGTTTCACTTTCTACTGTATCACAGGTCAGCCATTATGCGCCCCCCCGAGCTCCTTTTGAAGCAGCCACTAAGGTAGTCAGTGAAAAAAATCTAGGCCAGGGGGAAATTTCTCTCTGGTTTGGAGAAAGGGCCCCAGAGAGAACCTATGGCATGGTTTTTCAAGGCCAGAAGCCACCTCACTGAGCCACATACCCTCTAGCTTGCTTACCTTCTTAGCCTTACATCTCTGTCTCATAGCCTTTTCAAGTCAGTAGCCACTTTCTTAATTACCCCAAGCTAATAGAAGGGAAATCACTAAAAGATTGCCATCTTCTTCACAGTAAATACAGCTGACCCCAAAATGAAAAGCTTAACTTGAGAATCATGCGCAATTGGAGCAAATACCTTCATAAGTAGATTTATAATCACTAGTAAACCAACTCAAGTGCTGTTTTCTGAAAAGAGTCCCTTGTTCATTAGCACAGAATTTGAGCCACCTACATAAGAAAAAAACCCAACACAACTGAAATCCAAGTTCAGACTAACTAAGACTTTTGGCCATCTTAATGAATAGCATGCAATCAATGGTATAGGCAGGTGGCAACTTGGGGGAGGATGGGGGCAAAATAATGGGGGCTGCTGCCAATGGTTTTGCAATTGCAGCTGTGACAACCAGAAGTTGCTACTGTCCCTGTTCTCTGGACACCTCATCACATCCTATACTGATGATTCAAATATCCCTACTACAGGCTGAAACAAAAATAGGTAGATGAATATATGTATGCCAGAGTTTATAAGGGAGCTGCTCTGAAGAACTATTTTTTGTAACACAGATAACAAAAATATGACCTGGTATATATTGCCTCTGTTGCATAATGTTAAGAGAAGTTTGAAATGATATGAATGATGCTTTTCCTGGTGATGATATTGTTTTACCACTGAAATACAGTTTAAATATTTGTATATTCCAGACCTCAGAGTAAAATCTAATGTACACATCTGAGTCTGAAAGCAGTGAATCCTCCATGAAATAGTTGCCTGTCCCTTCTCTTCCTCCATTCTACAAACTAACTTTATCAAGAGAGAAACTAAATATGATTCCTTGTTTGGTTCCAGAAGCTGAGAATTGAAAAGTTGCCACTGATGAAAATCCCTGTGAGCTGCGAGTCAAACAAGGAGATGTCATCCCTCCCTTGAAGACTGGGAGTACATGACAGAACATACCCCAATGAGAAGTACATGGGTTTTTTTTTTCCTTTCAGCATGATTTTTGACTAAGGAGAAGAAAGATGCCTCTCACACCCATTTTCCCCGAGACAGAGAGAATGTAGGAATGTGCTTTTTCTGGCCTTTAGGAGGGGCAACGTATAGGGGGTTTCTGTTCCATTTTGTGCACCTAAATATAACTTAATCAGTTGCATGAATGGCTTTTTTGATACTTACAGACAGTTTGCAGTTCTCTTACACTTGCACTGGTGACACACAAGGGCACATACAGACTGAACATGTTTAACAGGCTACATGCAGTTCAGACAGTTGTATACATACAGGGCATGGCTACCCATGCAATAAATGATAAATGGCTTTACTGTGAATTTACCATTTGCAAATGCATGTAGTAAATTTACAGCACAGTAGACTAGTTTACTGTGCAGTAAGCACCTGTGCGTGTAGACAGTGATGCTTTACTGCACCATAGATTAGTCTAAGATTCAGTAAAGCATCTCATGTAGGTACAGCCACAGAGGCATAACATGGTAATTAAGTGTTCTGGAAAATAGTGGCTATTGCCTGGCAGCAACAGCAGCAGCAGCAGCAGCAGCAGCTATTTCTGTGCTCCCTCCTTCCCAAAGGCAGTGTCTGGGGCTTCTTCCCCACATGTGTATGAAGTAGCATAATTAAAGTCCTTGAGGGGGAAGGAGGAGAAGGTCTCTCTCACGTTTTAGTCCAGAACATGAGTGGTTAGGGCCCTTAGCCAGGAAGCAGATGAGCCAAGCTTTATGGCTTCCTCAGCCAGGGTGGTTTTAATTTGCAACCCCTCCCCGCAACCAAAGGGCAGCTTGTGGTCAATCCTGAGTGACCCCAATAAAGTGACAGGATGATTCTATTACCCTCTTTCACTGAATAAGTACTCCCATAATAAGAAGAGGGATATCTGCACATCTCTGGAGCATGATTCTAGTCCTATTAATGGGGACGTTGTGCACCCAGAGAGGGCACTAGAATCACTACTACATTTTAGTTGGTAAGTCAGGGTTTTGGCACAGGTTACCTTAAATCCAGTGTTGCACAAGCACCCATGTCATGAGTTTTGCCTGTAAGCAGCTAGAGGTGCACGGCCCCAGAACCCCTCTGCACCTATTTCCTCAACAACTGGCAGGCTTCATGGTCGCAGGAGGGGCCACCATCCCTGCAACTTTCAGCCTGCTGCGCCTTAACACACACACTATCACCCGTGTCATGAGTTTTGCTTGTCTGCAGCTAGAGGTGCAGTTTCCCCCAAACCCCTACACTTATCTCCTTGAAACTTGTCAGGGTTTGTGTCCTTACCACGGGCTAGCACCCCTGCAGTTTTCACCCCCTTGTGTTTTAAGACATGGATGTCACATGAGTTTTGCTTTTGAGAATTTGGGGTGCAGTTCCTCCCAAACCCCTGCATGTATATCCTTAAAACTTATCAGACTTTGTTGTTGCAGGAGAAGCTACCACCCCAGAAGTTTTTACCCCCCTGTGGTTTAACACACACACGTGACGTGAGTTTTGTTTTCAAGAATTTGGGGTGCAGTTGCTCCCAAATGCCTGTACCGATCCTCTTGAAACTTGGCAGATTTCATGCTCTCAACAGAGGCTATGACTGCTGTAAGTTTTTTCCAAATCAGACAAAAAACAACAAAATTATAGATACTTCATTGATTCCCCATGATAATCTATGGCCAGATCTCCAAGGCCAGATCCGAAGCCAGCCGGATCTGAAGCCGGATTGAATAGCTGCCTAGTTGCACAGGCCTAATTTCCATGCCAGTTCAGTTCCTCCTACATTTGTTCTCAAATCAACTTAAGGGAAGTGCTTGGCTCAAGTGAACTGTGGAGACTAAATATGCACACTCCCAATAGTTCTTGTCTAGATTCTTTAACTCCCTCCCTTATCATTAGAGGTGGTCTGGCAAACAAACCTCTAACTAAGAGTCAGTCTAATAATTAATTATGAGTCTTTACCTTTCTTCTGGCTACAGCTGCTGCAACTTGGAGAATTCTCTGTTCAGGTTCCTTTCCCACAAAGGCTGACCAGGGCTTCTCCTAGCTGCAGTTTTAAACTGTTTTGCGGGACTGAGACTCAGCTTATCCCAGAGCTGCCCAATCAGAATTTAAGGTGTTTCCCATCTCCATCCAATGGCATATCATTCTGTTGTGATAATACCATAAGAGGTTATTGTGGCTTTTTTTTCCTCTTTTTACTTGAGAGTTTGGTTTTTAATCTTACCTCTCGGGTAGTTGAACTTGAGCACTTCCTTGTTTTAAATCTGACTCTCATCTGCCACTTCTTGATCTAATTCAATATCATCAGTTGGGAGGTGTTACTAACGCAGAATGACTCTGGCAATATAGATAGATTTTTTTTTCAATTGATACCTTGCTTCCAGCTCTTCTGGACAAACCCCAGGCCTTTTACCACCAAGAGCCCTTCCTCTCCCCCTTTTTTCTGTGTGGTCATTCAATTCACTTCATTGGGAAACAAAATAATCTTTTAGAATTTTTTTTATTTATTAAATAAACTGCGTTGTGTTTATTTAATGTAAAACAACATGCATAAAATTAGGTAAAGTCAACTCTTGAAATTGTTTATATTTTTCTTTCATTAAACAACAAAGACACTTCCTTCAGTCTCTTGCTTCTTTTCTCCCCCCACCCTTTATTTATTTATTTATTCTGGCTCCCAGAGCACAATCTGTCCAAATTAAGATCCCAAATGAGACCGGGGAAACAAAACAGGAAAAAACTAACTCAGCCTTAATTAACACCATAGGGAACAATCTACCATTGTTCTTTTTGTTTGGTTGTTTCACAGCTTCTGCCATGTCTCCTCTTCTAGATGAGTTGACTGTCTTCACTTCTTCAAGGGCTCCGGGTTTTCCCTCCTGGTTGAGTCCCTGTCTTCCAGCTAGAACCGACTCCCGAGACCGCTCCATCCCAGTCTCCACAACACGGCTCCCCTAATTTCAGATCTCCATTTGCTCTTGTTTCTTCAGTGCACCATGCCTCTACCACACCACCGCCTCCCAATTTCAAAGAACAGCTGCTGCAGAAGTGCCTCTCTCCCAGAGCAATCTCAATCTTCATTCTCTCCTCATCTCCTTTCTCTCTTCACAGTTATGGGAAGGCAAAACAGTGATTTTGTCCAAGATTCACAGTGGATCAGAACGTTGCTCAGGATACAGCCAAATAACATCTGACAAACCACATCCTGACAAAGAGGGGCATGGCATGACCTAAGCTGTAGAAGGTTTAGGGATTAAAAAAAATAAACAATACCACACAAATTTAATAGATTTCATAGACATCAGGGCTGAAAGGGACCTTGGAAGATCATCGAGTCCAGCCCCCAGCCCCCTGCCCCAGCTAGGATCAAAGGATCCCATCAAGCTAGACATCTAAATGTTTCTTCCAAGAGTCCAGAGTAGGTGCTTGCACCACCTCTGGAGGCAGTCTGTTCCAGGCCTTGGGGGCTTGGACTGTAAAGAGGTTTTTCCTTATGTCCAGCCTAAAACAGTCTTGAAGGAGTTTGTGGCTGTTGGACCTTGTCATCCCTTGGGGTGCTCTGGTGAACAGGAATTCTCATAGATCCTGATGCACACCCCTGATGTACTTATAGGCAGCCACCAAGTCACCCCTGAGCCTATGCTTTTCCAGGCTGAGGAGTCCCATGGCTCTCAGCCTCGCATCATATGGCCTATTCTCCTGCCCTCTGATGATATGTGTGGCTCTTCTCTGGACTCTCTCAAGTTTTTCCACATCCTTTTTAAATTTTGGAGCCCAGACTTTGATGCAGTACTCCAGCTACAGCCTCAGCAAGGCCAAGTACAGTGGGAGGATGACATCCTGGGATTTGTTTGAGAAGCATCTATGGATGCAAGCCAGAGTCTTGCTTGCTTTACCAAGTGTGACATCACATTGGTGGCTCAAATTTATCTTGTGGTCAATCATGCCCCCTAAGTCCCTTTCAGCCATGGTGCTAGCAAGCATATCATTGCCGAGCCTAGGAGTGTACTGTGGGTCTTTTTTCCCAAGATGGAGTACCTTGAATTTTTTGGTATTGAATGCCATCAGGTTTTCATTTGCCCATTTTCTGAGCCTGTCAAGTCAGCCTGGATCACCAGCCTATCCTCAGGTGTGGATGCTTTACTTCAAAGTTTGGTGTCATCAGCAAACTTGACCAGTCCACTTCTGATACCAATGTCTAAATCATTAATAAAGATCCAGTGAAGGGCGGGCATTATACCCAGCAGGGCATGGTTGCTAAACTTTAAAAAAAGCTGACTTGAATAGATTCAGGGGATTGGCTCGCAGGGTGCTAGGAGCTAAGAACTTATATGTGGGATTCGTCCCATGACTGGGCGGTACATATTGAGGGTTATAGATTGTACAGAAAGGACAGGGTGGGGAAAAAAGGGGGAGGGGTTGCGCTCTATGTCAATGAGCAATATACGTCAACCCTCATCAAGACAGAATCCAAGGATGAGGAAGTAGAAGGATTGTGGGTTAGGCTACATGGGGGGCAAGGAGAAAGGGATTTGGTGGTAGGGGTCTGCTACAGACCCCCACATCAAGGGGAAGAAA